TTTAAGTAGTTCGCCCGAAGGTTCTACACTATCTGCCATATCTGCACCCAACTAGGGGGGTACCCATTTAAACCCTCTGATCATATCCTTACTTCTACTGTGTGGGACTTAAGACCCAGATATAACCTCACCATGCACTCACTAGGGCACATGGATCTATGTAACACTACTAGATTAATAGCCAGACTTAGAACGGGACTATATGTCCTGATTTATCCTCGAGGTAAACCTGCCAGAGTGGTACATTCTCATATATGTATTCATCTAGACTTCAGTAACTTACGTCATGCCTTAATTTATGTACTTGGGGTCAGGGCGTAATCATTAAACCCTTACTATTATCTACTTTACTCTTCTAAGATTCACAAACCCCTGTACTATATTCCATCACTTTCTACACCTTACTCCTTTTGGTATCGTTGTTCTCCCAATCCAGATGGCCTGGAAGGATTGGTCTGCCCAGACCCGAGTTTTCCAGGCTCAAGTCTGAAGGTTTCCCGATTCTTGGTCCACAATTTCATAACATGTGACCTTTTCTTCCGGATGACCCGGCGGCCTGGTTAGTAGATCCCTCTTGCTTGTAAGATCTTTGTTGCGCAATTCCTCCAATTTTTGGGGTCCAGTCAGATCTGTCCTGTAGTATCAGATAATACTTGGTTAGAATAGTCTGCTACTTCCTTAATCAGGATTTGCCAAGCCGGTTTTGGTTCTCTCAGGCTACTATGTGTAGGTCTTTAATATACGTCGATCTTGGAAGGCTTATCATAGATTTGCACTGCCTATACCGGTTTGCATTTCTTTGTGCAATGACACAAATACTTCCACATCTCCCAGTGCCAACTCGGAGCATTGGTGTGCCCTAGTTTACAGGTATAAAACCCAGCCCAATTTAGAATAAGCAATTATCATGACACAAGTAAATTATTCGAAACATCGCCAGTAGGATTTGAACCCAGTACTATAGCTAACAAACTTGGGGTGCGACAACTCCACCACTATGCTATGTCACCACACTCTTATGTGATATATATATATTTAATATTTAAAACATATAAATAAGAAAAATTAAAAATAATTATACAATGCAAATATAATATGTATTGTACAAGATCAACAAACGTATCCTTTTTTTTAAAAAAAAATCATATCCTTTTTTAATAGAAAAAGGTAATGGATCACAAACATGTATGTATCATGAACATGTGCCTATTAATTAAATAAGTATCTAACAATTAGTCTTGTTAGTTATTTATTACTCTTTTTATAACTGGCTAGCTTCCATTTCTGCTATTTTTTTGGTGCTATATTACTGCCACAGTTACTGCATAGTGGTTGCCTACACTTTTCTTTGGGTTTATAAGCTTCTTTACTTCTACATTGATAGCAAATGATAGGATATATTCCAGCAGAGTAATGCGGCTTCTCAACAGATGAGTTATATGACCACAAATCATTGACAAAAACTTTTTTAAAGATTTTTTGAATTGGATCTTCTAATATAGTTGTAATTTCGATATTAGAATTATCATCACATATATTTTCGGATTTACTATCAGATTCCTACCAGATTTGCTAATGGGTTCATAATTGTGATTCTACATTTTTTTTTTTTTTGTTTCAATAAATTCTTTTCACCTTATTGCTATTTTAACATACACATATCTCTGAAAAATAGCTTGGTCCTGCAGATTCAGCAACTTCATTTTCACTGCTTTCTTCTACTATCAAGCATTCATTTATTATGTTTGTTGGTTGTTTTGTTATAGCATTGGCTGGATTACAAATGCTATTAAAAGACATTCCACAAGTATATAAAATAGTATCAAGAAAAGTTTTTAATGTTTGTTGTTTATTTTTTAAAAGTTTTTTAGCACTAAATAAAAGGCGTGGCTTTTCACATTCAACACAAGTAACCGTGATATTGACATTTTTTACCTGAGCTGCAGAAGGACAAAATGGTATAGTATAACTTGCTTTTGAACTAGCAGTCTTTGATTTGCTTATTTTTGATTTTTGCAACTTAGCTTCTTTAAATGAAGGCCTATGTTCCTCACTTGTAGCTGTTCCATATAGTTCATCAAACAATTTATAATGAAAGTCATTGCCTGAAACTGGGTTGAAAAAACAGTAAAGCTGTTTGAATTCTTCTTGGAAACAACAAGGTAGTCTGCATATTGTGTAGTTATCTTTTCCACACTTTTTGATTGCAAAAAAATAATGTTGTGCCACGCAGCAATGCTCTATAAATTCCATTAATTGTGTCTGTTCAAAAAAGATTTAGTATTTGTTTTTTTAAACACATCTAATGAAATACTTATTCTATTTTTTATATTTTTTGCTGTCAATCATCTCGAGATACAGAATTATCAACTAATTTTATCGTTTCTCAAAATTGATCAATTTCTTCTTCCATTGCTGCATCAAAGGTTTTAAATGGCACCTCCTTTAAAGATTGACACTCAAATATATTGTGAACAAGATTAATTGGCTGTTGGATACTTTCAATCAATGCAGTTTTCAAAGTGAGATGGTTTTTCACTATATTACAAATATTATTCATTATACCTACTTTGCTAATTAATGCTTCAAATTTATCATCTATTTTATTATGCATTAGACTAACATATTGTAGTTCAAGATTAAGAGTGGATATTATACATTCAATAGAGTTTTTCCATGAGTGCTGTGAAGGTGTCCTTACAGCAATAAAATAGTCAAGATCTAGCGCTAAAAAGAGACAAATATATGAAATTTGCACCTGTGCAAATGTGCAGCAGTGGTCGGGACCACCATTAGTGTAAAGGCATAATATAGATTTATTATTGATATCTTCATTGAGCAAAATATTGTATAGCTCAGTTGCATGGTGTAATGGTGATAAAGGCTGAAAAATAGGTTCTTTTAGTCCTATATACACTTGACCTGCATAAAAGTCTCCACCAATTGATTCTAAAATAGTGCATATTATGGAAATGCTTGGCACTATTCCAGTTTTGGTATAATCATGATCTCCAACCATAAATGCTTCGTCTTTACCAACAATAACTTGTTTTCCTTTTTCTACAGCTGCAACAGAAAACCTTGGCTCTCCAACTTTATATCTGTATTTGTTATCCAAGAATGCAAGCATTGTAATATCACAGAATTTTACTGCAAATTCTTTTTCATATCGAAAAAGAGCTGATGCATAATGTGCATCAGGATGATGGGCACGAAGTTGTCATGTCTGTACTATAAATTTAAGAGGTAATCAGCCCACATATTGCAAGCTAGAAAGGGTAGTCAGATTCTTGGGCCAAAATTGTAATCATAACCACTGCACACTTGGAATTAATACATTAGATAAATATTCATCTTTTATTTAAAGCCGTAAATCATTCACAGAAATTGCCATAGCTAAATATACAATTATATCATAACGACGTTCATCAATAGCAGTAACTAATTCAGCAGCTTTAATTTCAAGAAAGTGGCTTGCAATGTTCCAAAATTTATTGTATTTTTCAGGTCTTCTATTATTATATTCGTGCAAGTCGAATATAATATCAGGATCATCTAAGTCTAAAGCCAACTTAATACGTGTATCCACTTCTGCTTCGTTGACTAATTCTGCTGCAGATATATCACCAGTTAATATTCTGTAAATAGTACGAAGTGGAGACACTTTTACTTTTGGAAAAAGCAGGTCACATGCATGTATATAATTAATTCTTATTGCTCGCATATGATATTTTGGAGCTTCATCTCGAAGTTGATTCACAATATCCATATTATTTTGAAACACTTGTTTTTCACTCAAATTCTCATTAATTTTTCAAATTAAAGCAGCATGAAATGTATTATTTCCAGAATTAAAATGATACTCTCTGACTTTAAATACAAATGCATGTGACAAGCCTTGTAGATATCGCATTCTTTGTCTAAATATAAAATATATTATAACATTAAATTAAAAATGTATAGTATATGCAAGAAACATATAGTGCATTAACTGGCAAATATTCCTCTAAGTTAAGTGGTTTCCAATAATCCATGCATGATAATATATATTCCAACTGTTGATATTTAATTTTATCTGTTAGGGTAATTCAAATATTACGATCATGAATTTTAACTATTATTGCTTTTTCAGGACTTCGGACATAATTATCCAACACATAATTTTTTGCTATAATTTCTTGTTGGTGCTGTGAAAATCCAACATATTGTGATAATACTATGACAAAATTATCAAGAGGTTCATGTAACCAACTAAATGCTGTAGAAAATATCCATGGAAATACAATATAAAATGCCAAAGCTTGACAATAAATATTCAATTTTTGTATATTAAAAGGTTTTCGTGCCTCTTTGTATGATTCTGGATCAGCTCAATTAAAAAACTCCATAAAATTATCTAGAACATAGTAACTACGATTTTCTAATTTATTATAACTGTGTATATCAATGTACCAAATTGTTTCCATAAGACTTATAATAAATTCTTTTCCTTGACTATTAGCATATTTTTCTGATTTCTATCCTTCACCATGTTGGTGTATCCATTTTACAATATCACATTGCAATAGTTGTTTTCGGTTTGGTTTTTTATAGTGTGAAAAGTTTGGTAAATAAAGTTGTTTGCCTTTATTTCTCGCAGATTGCATAAGAACATCGAAGCTATTTCGTGGTGTTGAATATATAGTTGAATCTATCTCATCTTCTAGATGAAAATGAATATTAGCGCCAAATGTATTCAGAAGTTCGATAATATTACAATCTTGGCTTGCTTGAATAACAGCACTGGTAGGTGTTTGACTTATTTCAACACGTTTAACTTTTTCAGAGATACTTAAATCAAATGAAGAATCAGAGGATATTTTACCATATACAAGTTTTTCAAAAAAGTCTCTAACAGTCATTTCATGCGGAATTGGATAAATATGCCAATCATAAAGTGTTTTTATACCTTTTATAATATGTGTATTGGCAAAAGGCATTGTAAAAAAATTTTATTTGATATGGTTGGTTCAAAGTTTGTTTTTTTTTTTTGTTTTTGTATGTATTAAAAATGAGGCGTTTAAGGAAAGTATTATTTTATTAATTCATATGTGAATTCTTCAGTAATTTTAAAGTTAAAATGCCAAATTGTACGTATTACTAATATCACTCTTTATTTATAAGAATCTCAAATATATTTTTGCAAACTATAGGGCCTGGCATTATCTCGTTACTTTATCCATCTATCAATCTGTGGCATAACAATATATTGACGTTGTTATTCTTCTGTTTGCAGATTTCACATGCTAAGCAGAATAAATGAATTAGTATTAAATGAGCACGTGAGAGCGAAAACTTGCAGTTGCATAACTATGATAAGTTTCAGGTTTTCATTCTCACGCAAAATTAGCCACGATTATATGTACATACACATTAACTTAGTCTTTTGTACATATGTATGTACTTATCGTTATTATAACATATAATCAGCAATCATGTTTCTTCAATAAAGTTAACATATGAGATAACGATAAGTTTGATTTATTGTTATTGTCGTTATTCTTTCAAAGATTGAGCTTATACAGTTGCTATTATTCCTAACACCATTAGAGAGAATTCAGATAAGTACAATTTTAATTGGTTGCTTTATTTAGATTATGACAATCGTTAGCGATAGCTCTATTGTTAAATTAGACGTGTCCAAATAAACATACCATGTACGTACGTGCATATATGCAATGCTTTTATTTATTCAAACCGATTATGTAATACTTTATAAGTGCACATTATTGAGGATAGAGAAAGAGAAAATAACATGATTTAGCATTAAATAAATTAATTCTATCTATATATATATCATCAATTACATTATGTTATACAGAATTTAGAAGTGCATTTATAGTTTGTATATACTGTACTGTATTTTGATTGGTTATTAAATAAAAAATTTTAAATTTTCAATTAGCAAAAATTGACCCGGCCAGGATATGAAAACCAGAAAATTTACTTTGCTTTGCCTTATTAATATTTAAAATTTATTTAAAGGCTTAGATACAATAAATTATTCTTTTTATGCATTTTTGCATGTGAAGTCTACTACAAATAAAAACATAGATACAAGAATATGCATCAATACTATATTAAATAATACAATAATAAGTATTAATAATGTACTGAATAGATATAGATTTGCAATGTTATGTATATATATATGTACATATATATAAATTTTGTTAACAAAGATTTCAAATTATTTACTTATAGCAATAAAGAATCAGAACAACAAGCTAATAATTTATCTAAAATTAAAGAATTGGATTATCAACTTGATAATTTACTTGAAATTGAAGAATTAAAACATAATTTATTAGAAATTAAAGAAATAGAACACAATTTATCGGAAATTGAAGAATTGGAATATGAAACTAATAATACATCAGAAATTGAAGAATTAAAAAACCAAGCAAGGAATTTATTCATCAATTTCTTGAAAGAAATAAAAGAAGATTATGAAAAACAGGATCCTTAACTTTGCATGGCGCTTAATAAATTTTCAGAAAGATATAAGGCTGCTAAATCAGTCAATTCCATGGTTAACTACCTTTTTATATAAGATTAATTATAATTCAAATCCTTTGGTGTGTATTAGAGATGGCAAAAAGATTCCTGTGCAAGTAGAATCTGTAAAGTGAAAAAAACTGAAAAGTGCAAATATTAAACAAAGGTATTTGAAAATTACTGATAAGAATGATCAACATTATATTCCTAAGCACAAGACAAGAAAAATAAATAAAAAAGTCTATAATTTGAGCAAAAAAATATTCAAGCCAACATATTGAACTAGATGTAAAGTCTAAATTTATAATTTATTTTAATAAAGATTTACTTGAATATTTCATTTAAAATAAATTATCTTTTATATTTAATGAAGATCTTAAGTTAACAAATTAATATATATAATTTTAGTCGTGCAAATTAGAGGTTAGTATATTATCTTAATAAATTTAATATATTAGTATTATTGTTCTAAGATTTGATTTAATTGAAATCTTCGATATTATAAAGTTAGAATTAATAAATATATATATGCAAATATATTTGCAATAAAACTATTTCTTTTTAACTTTAACTAGTGCTAATAAATTTGGTCTTGAAGTATTAAATAAATATATTTAATTACCCTTTTAATTTTTCTTGTGTTTAAAAAGCTAGCTTAAACAAAAGTTTTTAATTCAAATAATCTCTTATCCAAATAGTTGCGAAACTATACTATTAAATGAAAAGTCATTCAATAATGGTTAAATTATTGTTGGCTAGTATCATTGAATATTTTTCAAGAACTAATAAATCTACTTAACTAGTCTAAATTTCATAATATTCAATATAAATATTAGATTAAAGGATTAAACAGTGCGATTAAGCATATATTACTAGTATTTACTATTTTCTAGTTATGGTTTTGCATATTTATATATAGAAATTACTTTATTGGTTATTTTATTATTTTATTAAAAAATAAATAAGTATCATAATTCATATCAGATATTACGTGGCATTTACAATATTACATAGTAGTTATTTACAGTATTTGTATAACAAGAAGTTCATTCAATATGCCAAAGATCTTAATTTTATTGGCCAAGCTTGTGTTACTTCAATGCATGATTGACATGATCGACATAACCTGGCACAGAAAACTGACGTGCGCTCTTTAATCATTTATTATCTATCTGTTCGATGCTTAATTACAGTATGTATATAATTTTTTCATAGTACTAATTGGCTATATAATAGTATTACTTCTTGGTCTTGATTAACAGAGCTGTAATACTGATTCTTGCCTCGGGTTATGTGTTCAACACCATGTTGAATTCATTGCCAAGTATATAACCAAATGTACTTGCTATAGTACTGTATATGTAAGGCATGTAATACTTCTGTTGCACATATTGTAGAGCTATAAGGTTTGTGCTATAAAGCTACTTCTAATATGCTAGAGTATCGTAACTTGTGCTAGGCATTCTGAATTTGCTACAGTAAGTTGGTGATATATTGTGTTTTACTAATTGCTTTCTTCTAGAGCTTTTGGTATTTTTTTTTAAAGCAATTATTTTCTGGTTAGGTACTTAAGGCATTTTCTATTTGTATTTATATTTAGGCTTAAATGCATTCTTGGTCTGGATAGTATATTTGTTTTAAGTTTTCAGGATTTTGAAAAAGATTCCAAAGAAGTGTTTCGGTTATGAGTTTTGGGTAATTTTCTGATAAGTTTAGATCCAGTACTGATTTAGTGCTGGGTTATAGACTTTGGTACTTTTACAGTATTAAAGGTTCCTGGTTGATTATTTTTGGCCTAACTCTGGTTAATATTTAGAGTTCCAGAATAGACTTAGGTATAGTTTTTGAGCATTGTTTTTTGGTCTATTTTCTAGGTTAGTGTTTTGGTACAATATTTCTGTTAGAACAGTCAGGTATTCATTTAATGTTTTAGGTTTCTGAGATAGTTTCAATTGTTTTTGGTGTAATTTTGGCTTTTCAGGATAGTTTTTAGTATTTTCACTAGAAGGCACCAAAATATTACAATGCTATAGGCTTTTTGTCACTACATAGTATGGTAACAAGGTTATTCGGTACAAGGATTCTGCTATTGGAATATATATGGGGTGGATATGGAGTACACTTAAGTATCCATAGCAGAAAATAAACAGTTTGGTATTAGGATAGTGTATTTTTAATCTTTATTTATTATAAAACAAGATGATAACCTTATCTAAAGATTCTAAAGAAAGTTATATATTTACAAGAGAGAATTACAAGACTAATTCTATGAGAGAGATATATATAAAATCTATTTAAAAGCTATAGATATCTATTTTTACAAGAAAAGATTAATACTCTCTTTATATACTTTTTACAGAATAGAAGAGGGAGTTGAGAGTAATGTAATATTGTATTTGAGGGAGTTGAGGGACATGTTGAGGGAGTTAAGGGCTGTGTTGAGAGAATAGAGAAAGTTGAGAGAGATGAGGAATATGTTAAGGGAATTAAGAATCGTGTTGAAGGAGTTGAAGGTATAGTTGAGGGAGTAGAGGGCTGTATATAACTTTAGCTACATTATGTGCTACAGTGGCTTTAACTCTTTGTTAAATACTTATACTAATAATAATATACATAATACAAATATAATAAATAATAAATATCTGATATAAAATACAAGTTAATTTTTTTTTTTTTAATATTAAAGTGACTACTCAGGCCTCTGGCACTTTATTAGTTCAAATGAGTAGACCATTGTTAAGAATATCAGCTTTACATATTATATTAGTATTATGAGAGTACAACTAGCCACACATACAACTTTTGGTTGTCTAATTAAGTAGTCTGCCCAGAGCATTAGTGCTATGCTAAGGGTTTTATACTAGATGTCATACCTATAGCCAAACTAGAAAGCTATTTATTTAAACTTTCTAGCTATATCGGTGCTACATATTTTCTTCTAATATACTCTTTTCACAGGGTAATTTGCTGTTTAAGACTCTAAGACTTTAGCTATCAATCTAATTTGGAAGGCAATTTATCTTTGAGAATATCTAACAGAGTGGTCCATGTTTTATACATATTTTCACCTACATGTTAGGTAATTTTTTTCTAACTAGTACCTGTTGTGCTGCCAAAACCAGGTTCGTATTTCAAGCCAACTTTTAAGATGCTACTATAACCCAATCTGTATTTCAAGCACAACCTTCCTATAGTAATTAGTCTTCTATTATATACTATTGCCTTTATAAGGTTCACAACAACCCCAGTACCTGCATTCTAGCCATCTTCTTACCTAGATTTTTTATTGGTTCCTCCTTTACTTCTGGACAGGTCGGTTTGTTTAGACTTTAAGTACCTGAAGAATACCCTCCTCTTGGTCTATACTTTTGAAGTATATGTCCTTTTTTTCCAATATGACAACCCGGCAGTTCGGCTAGTGTGTTCTTTGCCAGCAAACCTGGTTGCTCAGTTCTCTGACTTCAAGCCCTGGTTTGAATTCAACTTTTTTGTAATACCATCAAAGATCCCTGCTACTCCCAATTTAGGACTTTCCAAATAGGTTTCAGTTATGCCGGTTCTTTGAATTTATTGCATCAAAGCTTCTATTATGAGATGGTATAACCAAAATTACAGATTTAGTTTTGGATCCAACTGATAAGTATAGCTATCAACTGAAACACAAGCCTATTTTTCAAATATCATCATCTATGAGATTTGAACTCTAGACCTGCCACTTGAAAAGAGTAACAACTAGACTACTGTATTACACTAAGTCACCACACCTTTTAAAATGCAAGTTAATAAATATAAAGCTAAATACAGTAATATAAAATATAAAAATATAAATAAACTATAAAATGTAAACTACGCTAAACTACTTTATATTGTAAAAACCTATTTTACAACACTGTGAAGTATTAACCTGATTTGTATATAAAAAAAATTAGACATCATATAAATTTGATAAATAATTGCTATTTAAGTAACTATGTGACTAAGTGATATAATGACCTGTATCATTTTATATTATTTTTATTAACATGTGATTCTGTCACTTCATTTGTGACTAAGTGACTAAAGTATATTGTGACATAATACCATATGACTAAATGATAAGGTTACAAAAAAAAAAAAACCAAGTAATATGGTTTTGTCTATCACTGGTCCGGACCAGTTTTTTGGACCAGTCCAACCAATTTTCGGTCCTAAATTGAGGACCGGGCCATATCTTATAGAATGATCTCGTTGGCTAAAAAAAAAAAAAATTTTCCGATAATCATATTTATAAGTTTCCAATATCGGCCTAATTCAATAACTTATTGATTTTGACTTGGTAACTTGTCAATTCGGTCATTGGAAATTTTTTCAATTGTCCCAGGATTTATGATAGCTATAGGTCTTTTTATATGTAATAATCATTAAAAACCAGCTTATTTTGAAAACCAGCCAATAGACCATTTTATGGACCGGTTCTGGGCCACAGTCCAGTCCACGGTCCTCTGCTACGACCGGACAGACCATAACATCCCTAAAGTGAGCAGTTAAACTAAGTAGTGATGTGGCTACCCCGATGCTAATGATATAATTGTCATATTCAATAAACTTATAAAAGATCAACTTTTTTAATAAATCACGGCGTATAATAGTTGAATTGTAGTCCCATCGAGTGTTCAAAGAAAATGTGAGGTGACTATTATTACGTAACCTACCGTAAATTACCGTATAATCCCTGTGACAAATAATGCAAATCAATTTTTTAAAATAATATTTATATGTGACATATAGCATGGTGGACAACCCCGAATTTGGATGATCGACATTGTGGCTTAGTCAATTTAATAAAAAAATTTTTTTAATTTTTTATACAGTTTAAAGTACTTCGTATTCTCGTGATTTTTCGAAACTTACCAATTAGGTTCACTCCAAAAAAAGAGCTAGCGAAAGTTCTTTGCCTGCCCTTACTTTAAAATTAATCCCAAATAATCTCAA